TGTTTATCTAATTAACTAAAGTTGTTGTCTATCCGAAACTAACAAACTATTTGCATGTTAAACTAATTAACTGCTTAACTAATTAATTAATTAACTAAAGCTGTTGTCTGTCCGAAACTAAAAAACTATTTGCATGTTAAACTAATTAACTAACTAATTATCTAATTAATTAACTAATTAACTAATTTTTGTTTATCTAATTAACTAATTAACTAAAGCTGTTGTCTATCCGAAACTAACAACTCTTTGCATGTTAAACTAATTAACTAATTAACTGCTTAACTAATTAACTAATTAATTATCTAATTAACTAATTACCTAATTAATTAGCTAACTAATTAACAAACTATTTGCATGTTAAACTATATGCAGTACGCATTACCTATTTAAAGTATCGGCTCTTTATAGGTATTTTACTTTCAAACATTTAATTTATGATAAAAATATCAATGTTCGTAAGTAAAATTCAAAAAGTGTTACAAAAAATATCAATATTCTTACTTTCAAACATTTAATTTATGGCCCTATGCCCCACCCTATATCAATATTCTTACTTTCAAACATTTAATTTATGGCCCTATGCCCCACCCTTTTTGTAAGAATATTACTGTAACACTTTTTGAATTTTACTTACAAACATTGATGTTTTTATCATAAATTAAATGTTTGAAAATAAAATACTCATAAAGAGCCGATACTTTAAATAGGTAATACGTACTGCATATAGTTTAACATGCAAATAGTCTGTTAATTAGTTAGTTAGTTAATTAGTTAATTAGTATAACATGCAAATAGTTTGTTAGTTTCGGACAGACAATAGCTTTAGTTAATTAGTTAATTAGTTAAGCAGTTAATTAGATAAAATAGAAATTAGTTAATTAATTAATTAGATAATTAGTTAATTAATTAATAATTAATCAGATAATTAGTTAATAGTTAATTAGTTTAACTATTAACTAATTAGATAATTAGTTAAGCAATTGTCAAGCAAATAATAATTGTCAAGCAAGAAGAGGGCAAAATTGGAAGAAATTTCTTATCTCACTTCTACAAAAGCTGTCACTTGTCAGGGAGGTTTTTGCAACGAATTGTTACTGTTCAGGGGAGGTGAATGCAATTTCAAAACCTAGAGGGGAGGTCAGTGCAAATGTCAGAAATCTCAAGGGTGGTTTCTGCAATTATCCTTTGATAAAATTGAAATTTGAAACCTGATGTATAAAATCGGAAGTTTGAACTGAAATTTTAACATTTGAACCTATTCTACATTAAATTATACATGAATAGCTTACCACTTATTTCTTGAAGTAAGTCTTGTCTAAATAATTTAAAATTACTTAATTAATTAAGATGCTTTGTTTTTTATTATCAAATACAAATATATTAAAGTTTGAATCGATTAAATTTAAGCGCTGAATTGGATTATCAAACAAGACTTTAGTCTACCTATCTTAATCACCCGTCTTTATATTTATTGCTAAATCTTTTTATTTGAAATATGTAGGGTATCTCAAAATCTTTTTACACGATAAATTCGGATATGACATTTTATGAATCTCACCGTACGTACAATTACTTGTCATTCCTGTGAACAAGTGACGTTATGCTTTGTGCACATTCTCCCCAAGAAAGACACCAGTATGTCAATTGAGGACGAACGGCTTGCACACATCCCCGACGGATTACAAGTGAAGCGGGGTTTCCATTCCATTTCTAATGTTTCCGTAGCCAAAGAAGCTTAAAAGATGAGGAAATTGGTTTCAAAATTAGCTTAACTGCAAAGAAATCATCTCAGAAATCAACATCATCTCTATCTCAATGTACGCTCATTTAACCAAGTTTCTAACAGGGAAATCACTCTCTGCAAGGCCAAATGGAGACTTCCTACGATTTGCCATGCAAGCCCATATCCAAACTTGGAGCTAATTCTGCTGCCTCCTTTTCAACTGCCGCACCAGCTGCTTGGTATGCATCACCAGCCTTGCTTCCAGGTTTCAAAGCAGCGATTGCCCCACCCTGTGCCTTTACAAGGACTGCATAAGCATTTTTCTGAACTGGATTAGCATCAATTAAAAAAGTCCGAGCAACATTTGAGCTGCAGCTGTTATAACGAGCACCGATGGCACAAATGATTACACTGGTAGAATCATAGTAAAGATTACTATCATTGCTAGCTGCACTTGGTTTAAGATCAAACTCAGGCGGGTAACAGATATCAACATTTTCAGCTTTAAGCTTTACCTTAATCTTTGCAGGTTCCAGTATAACCTTTTCTGTGTCATCCATCCATGAGGAATGAGAAACTTTCTTTTCTTCATCAATTACTTTTTCCAACCTTGGGACCACAAAATGCTTCATAACTGATGAAGTCAGGTAGGCAGCTTTTTTCACATTTGTGATCTCAGCTTCTTTAATTGCAAATAGGTCTGAGAAGCCATTAGTTATATCACGAAGCTGAAAATTTGCACTCTTCAATCTCTGATCCCAGGTTTCCAATAGATTTCCTTCAGGGGCCTCTCTCGCAATGTGCCCAACCACAGGAGTGTCACCACCATCCAATCTTGATTGGGCATGCACAGCACGAAATATTTTATCCATCAATGCAGTCCCATCATCATTTTTGGCCTTCACATGGATCACAACTTCTACCCCCGTAACACCCTTAGCAGATCTTTTCACAACATCCAGCAAAGACGCCTTCTTCTGGCTACACAAGAAATGGATCTGCTTCTTCATAAACACCATGAAACCAAACATTCAGAGCTGATGATTTCAGGTAACTCAGATCCTCTGATGGTGGAGGAGTCGCTATAGCAAGAACTTCAGAAGCACCCTATAAATCATTGTTATACTCAGAAAAAAGCTAACAGAATAAGGCTTTTATCTGATGATGATGGATCCATTATCTTTGCCAAGATCAGAACAGACAACCATCATCGTGATGTTGAAGTGTGTTAATTTGGGTAGTTAACATAGTAAATTGATTCATTAAAGACTGACCAAGGGAAGTCAATGTATGATTCAATGGTTTTTTTTTTTTGGGGTATTGATTGAAATGAAGAAACGTTGTACATATGAAGTGTTTGAAAGGGAGAAGAAAGATACGGATGGGAGGACTGGGAGATAGATTATTTGCAGCATATGAGATACTTATGGGGATTTTGTATGAACCATTATAGGAGGTAAACAAACCAAGCCCAGTGGGCGGTAAAAAAATCAGGTTTATGTAACCAAACCACAAACCAAACTATTTAATTCTTGAATATATTATTCTCGAGGCAATTTCAGTTTCAGAAATCTTTATTATAGTTCATTCTTCATTATGATTTTAAATCTCAATATAGTAATAGTTAGCATGAATTCATGTCATTTGCATTGTATATATTGTAAATAAAAGATTATTTCTACATTAAATTTCAATTGTTATTCAAGTCAATTCCACCGCAGCTGTAAATTTTGGATTGAATCGCACTGTAAATCAAATGAACAGGAAAAAAATTGTCTAGTAATAGAAATTTGAGTCACAAATTAAAAAATAAATGTATGTGTGTGTGTGATGATGTATTAAGATATTCTTCCTCTGCTATTAATATGTTTTACTAGAAATAAAATATACACAGAAGAATGTTGATTTTCATAAAGACACAATGGACCAATTGATATCTGCTAACTTTGAATATTACAAGTATGAGCAAAGACTCATCAGTTTTATATTAAAAAAAAGTATACTGAAAATTAATCTATTCCTCATTATAAATTATGTCTAAAGTATAAGAACTAATCTTATAAATTACATGATTATAATTGTTACTTACTAAATAACAAAAATAGCAGCACATAAGAAACAACAATTGTAGCAATGTGATTAAGGACTCGGGTACATCTTGCTTAGAACATGGTCCACAATTCCATATTAATTGGAATATTGTTGAAACAAAATTATATATTAATTCTTACAACTAAGGTGCAGTCCGTGAGAAGTTATCTATATTCGTGGCCTGAACTGGTCTCTAAAATTTGATCTTGGGCTAACCTAAGTTTTCTGGGCTCTCTGGTCCATCAAATCTAAAACCTATTGCGACAGGCTTCGTGGAACCTCCATCTGGCCTGGTCCACTTTTGGCTGAGCACTACGGGGTGGAGCTTCTCAATCAATTGACAGTGAAGGCAGAAAACGGACTATATATATATATATATATATATTTGTAATCAAAATTTCTCTAGTCTTCAGTACAAATTTAGCCGCGAAAACTACTGGGTATTGTCTCCTCAGTGCTAGAGCTATCATCTTCTTCCCCAAGGCTTCACCATTTTTTTTTGGTTCTTAACCAATCGTCAGTTGTCAAGCATAATCAGAGGTTTAGAATTCCGCCGAACCGCTTTTCTTTTCTTCCATTGGTCAGTACAATGCACAATTCGGTGGCTTTGTGCGCGTGTGTGTGTGCTCGTTGTCGTTTAATAGTTTAGAAATTTAGAAGCTCTTCGGAAGGCTTAGTATGTAAGGTCACAGTTTTGATTTCATAGCAAATGATTACGTCAAACCATTTGTTATATGAATTTTCACTTGTAAACCCTAGCTCCTTTAGAAGGATTATTATTTTTTTTAACAAATGCTAGAAAAAGGCCTATTCTTAGGGATTCTTTATGTTTTTGCCTCTATGATAGAATGATGCATTTAAGTTGGATATATGATGCTCGTGGCTGGTTTAATTTTCGTTTATCAGTACTTAAAAGAACATTTAAATTGTTTGGTCAATGATTTTATGCACCTATTTTTGAAATTGCGATTTTTTGATATGAGAATTTGATTTTTGCATGTGAATGTTGGATACATTGAGCTTAAATTGTTGCCATCAATTCACAGCTGAATAGTTTTATGGTTTCTCTAAGAGCTACTAGGTATGACATAGGATCATGTAGTTGCAGTGAAAGAAGCCATTAATGAATTGTGTCAATTTGTCTTATCAGTGACGTAATGGCCAAAAAAAGGAAAAATAAGAAGAAGAAGAAAAATAAGAAGAAGGAGAAGAAGGATGCTATTCAAGAAGGAGAAATTGAGTTGCTTGGTAGGACTGATGAGCAACCTAGGCCTTCCCAAGGATCAAATGGCAATTCTGGTCATGTTGTGATTCAAATGTTTCGTGTGCGGAAAGATCTTCTCTCAGTACTGGATCACTTTGAAGATAGATGCAAAGAATTTTTTGATAAGGATGAAAAGTTACAGAAACCAGTATTCAATTCTTTTTTACACTCACCGGAGGCAGTACCATATTCGCTGGATTGAAATTAGGCTGCTTGAAGAGTTTAGTTTTTTCTTTAGCAATGATGTTAATGTTTTGGTTTGGTTCAATTGTCATGTTATCTAACTCCAACAGGCGGATTAATTCGCTCAATTGGTCTATACAAAATATCAGACAACACTGCAGAATCTTTGAAACTAAAGTGAAGTCTTTTACAACAGAAATGAATAAAAAACTTGAGCTGGATGATATCGTTGTGGACTGTCCTGTAGCTTTTGACCAGTGTGTATACCACATTCGTCAGCATTTACGCTCGCTACAATTTTTTGTGCATCCAAAATTGTTATTTTTTGTCATTTTGGCTATTACAGTCCTTATTGGGTTCATAATGCCAATGGTGGCATTCACTGGGTGCTGCGATGGTATGAAGAAAATCAATTTCTTTTGTGTTTTTTGTTTTCCTTGTTTACATTGACTTATCTTTTTGATTTTCTGTTTCTATTTGTAGATAAGCTGAAGGTCATTTTGCAAAAACTATTCACAATATTTTGTAAGGTACTGCATAGGTCTGATTTTTACTTTTTGTTGCTGTCGCATGACTCACTTTTTACTGCTTCCAATTTCTATAACTAGTATTACTAATTTTGGCATCTCTTTTAGGGGATCATGAACTCACATGGGAACTTCACTACTGGATGATCTCCTTTGCTTCAATAGGTAACATAAAACATATCTGTTTACTGAATGTAGTCTAAGCAAGTTTACAAACATATGTAAAATAGACAGTGGATTTCTTTCTCTGTTTTGTTTGTTGACAGAGTCAAGTTTACCATTGAAGATGATAGTTTTTTAACTGGAATGGGGAGCTTCTTGATTACTTGCACTGTCTAACTAGTTAACTTGGCAGTTGTTATCTGACTTTATTATCTGGATTTTCTTTTTTCCTTTTGCTCTGGCAGGCAAGTTTTGCTAGTGAGTTTTTTGTTTTAAACTCGTGCTTCATCTGCAATAATATGTGAAATTGGTTGACTTTATCAAATGACGTGTAAAAGATTTTCTTAAGGAGAAACTTACTATTTCTTGGTTGGAGCACAATAAATTTGTAAATGGCTAGATTTTAGAAATAACCGTGTAAAAAAAAATTAGCACAATGCTTATGCCTCAAATTTTATACATACGTGATATTGCTTGAGTTTATAGATCTTGAGAATAATGTACAGTGAAAAAACTAGGCTAGTGTAGCTGAAAGAGAGAGCAAAAAGGAAAGCCGAATTGGTTAATCTAACAAGTAAGATGGCTGTAAACACATTACCTTTTACATCAAGGAATCACCTTTTAAGTGCAAGGAAAGTAACTAGGCACATTGATGTGCAAAAATATAGTTACAGTGTACACTGGCCTATCTGGGAATAGAACAATTAATTGGCACGCACAATGAGTCGTTTGCAGGTTGATAAAACGCTGCTTCAAGCAATGATTTGCTTTGTTCCTTATATGCACTAGAATAATTGAGATACCAAATTCTCTTGTTCGAGTTACCTATTTAATGATTTTGTATTCTTGAAGAAGATCCTTCTAGAATTGTTTTGCATGTGTTGAAGCTTCACATAGGTGCATTGAAACTTGAATATTCTGAAGATTTTATTTTTTAGGATAGCAGAATTGTTGGGTTTGAAGTCATATTTAACTAGGGAGTTCTGCTCTTTTACTTATTGAACAGTGTTTCCTCACTAATTTGTTAGTGAACTGTCTTTTGTTTTAGGTGTGTTGAATTAACTCTTCTATGAGAAGGGAATTTGATACATTTATCTTCTGTTGATGCTTTATCCTAGTTAATTTACTCCAAAGTGATGCAGTTGGTGGAGGTTGTTTTTGTTGTTTATTTTTCTTTAAGACAGGGTGCAAAATACTGGATGAAATCTATTGACAAATTTGTAGTATGTTGGACATTTAATTGATTTCGGTTGATTTGGTTATCATGTAAGTGGTGGAGCTAAAGGTACTGTAGATAGAATTTATAAGAGTTTAGGGGATTATGAGACTCTGTTGCTAGCTTCTCTTTTTGATTTGGTGTATAATTTTCATGATTACCTTATGAAGCTTAGGGAATGAGTTTGTTGTCATTTGTACAAGTGCTTAATATCTTTTTCTCTTCTTCTTATTATCTTGGTTTTCATGCTTTTGCAGCACTGTTAATAGATAGCACTACTTTTCTAGGCGTAGTCTAAGTTGATAGTTTGTATATCAGGTTTATCACTCTAGCTTTGTTGAAGAGGATGGGATTTCATTTTAACACCATGTTTTATATCACTCCAGCTCATCAATCTCTTCTATATTACAAACTAATAATGTCCATCTTTTGATTCTAGAAATACATGCATTCTCTCTTTGTTGATCATAATGTCTTGTACAAGTGCATGATAGCTTCATTGGAATGTTTAATTCGTTCCATTATGTTGCTGGAAATGGCATAATCGATGATTATGCAACAATTGATTGATGGCAAATATTTCAGGGATTCTAAGGTTGGTTTGCTTTCATTTTTAGCAAGCTAAGAACATAATGTGTGTGGAAGTCTGAGTATACTTGATTTGGGTTATTTGCTGCTCTGGGCCTTCAATGTTGTGTTGCCTTTTATAAGTTATTTGTCGCCTAGAGGTGATTATCTAATACTATATGACATGAAGTGCAGTGAATCCTATGCTGCTTCATCCGGCTAATTACTCAGAATATTGACCAAAAAAAATTGAAAGAATGGGGTTCTGACAATGGTCCTGTACAGATCTATTGCTGCCGGGCTGACAGCAAAGTCCAAATTAAAAAAAAAAATGAACAGAAGCTGCTGGGCAGCCCGACAGCACATCAAACTAGAGGATGCACAATTTTTCTCGGAGGCTAACCTATGACAGTCTCACATCACCTTACGGCGAACCAAAGGGTTCGGCGGATCGCCTGCCAAATTCTCACCGGGACTACGGATCCGAAACAAACGGAAACTTCACCCTACCAAACGCTCAAAAGAACTTCGAGAAGATAATATTCTGAACCCAATTGAGCCAAACTAAAAGATATAATAAGCTAATCACACCCTGAAATACTTGTTCCGAAAGATAATACAGTGCTCAAGCGCTACAATGACCGATGAAAAAAACGGAACGAAGAATGAAAACAAGCCGCGGATGAACAATGATTGCCACGCCACAATCCAACCAAGTACAAGTAAACTTTGTTTAACATGAGAGAATGTATATTCCCAAATACATATGCCATATAACCATGAAGAAACACTTTAAAATATACATATTAGTAAGTTCACAAACCCAAAAGGGAATATTGTAGTAAGATACATTTAGGGTTTTCAAATTGTCGAGGAGCTATACCAAAAGAACAAAAGAATTTCTAACTAGTTCAACTCATTCTTCAAAACATCGAAGTTCCAAAAGGTTGTTCCCTGTAAGAAAAACAAGGATAACGGAATGGAGTGAGTTAGAAGTTCAATGAGGTACCAAAAGTATAAACAGTAGAAATCATGAGAAATCACTTTTAGAGCACATATACACGTCAAATAATAGAAATGAATGAACACCAGAAATTAAAGGATAAAGGTGGCTCTCAGGAGCCAAATCCCCGTTGCAATACTTGATCCAACCTAGTTGACCCTCCGTCAACATTTAATGAAAACACACATGTCTGTAGACTCCACTTACGCCAAAATTCCGATCACCAAACATACCCTTTATCGGGCCCGAACGTCAAATAGGAACAGGAATGATAATACTCGAGTATACCAGAAATCCAGAGTCTTCAATACTCATAGATTCCCCAGGAACATGCACCAATGAATTGTCCATTTCCTCGACCAAGCCCTTGCTGGCTCGATTCAATTAACTCCCCATGAGATTGAGCTCAGATTTAATAGGAAGATCGTTGGATATACTTTCAAACGATATTATAACAGGCGCAGGTAACAGAGTCAAGTATATACAGGAAACAAGTCACACAGGCCAGAGAACGAGTGTGATAAAGTACACACTCGTCTCGTACAAAATAAACAGTCGGGAAAGACATTTAAATAGCAATTTACAAGTACAGATAACTAGTTTAGCAATAATTCAGGGGAGTGGTACACTCACCGGTTAAAGCAAGGATACTTCAAAAGTTTCAACCAAAATAGGCCTCTAATTACCAAGAAACCCTAGAATAACCAAGGTAAACAATTATGATTTCTATAGCCACAAATCCAGTAAATAAAATGCACAAATGAGACTCGACTACAAGTCGTAGACCTCACCAAACAACTACTAATGCAAGGGTGCAAAACATGATTTTGGGAACGAAAAGATAACATGAAGACCTAGGACTCGAACAACCCTAAAAGCCCTTCTTATAAATATCCCAAACCAAACCAAACTCGAAGAAATCCAACATTTCCAAAATTTGGTAGCATATCCCCTACATTTTCTTACTTTTCCATCCTACAATCAACACCATTTTATTTCAAATCAACCACATACAAATCATAGACTATAAAACACACCTTTCGGCACAATAACCACAACTGAAGCTACACTTATCGGATTGAAATAAATCTTATGGCGTTTCGAAACCAAGACATATATCTACATTTTTTATGAAAACTTCCAAAGTCAAATCATGCATTTTCAGGATAAAAAATGGAAATCTCCACGAAAACAGAAAACTGTCTGCGGAACAGGGCTTATGGGCAGTCAAGGGTATTTCGGTCATTTTACATGCTACGGTGCTCCGATTGAGTTGAAATTTTACAGGTAGCTAGCTAACTCAATTACTAACAACTTTTATGTTTTGGGCAAGGGCTGATTCGGTCTCCTTCAAGGACAAACATTCAGCGCAATATCAGGGCCGATTACTAACCCTCAACTGGAATTTTCGCACAAATTCTGAATTTTTCTGCAAACAACTACAACTAACACACAAATGCTTCATTTCATACCATATCAACCTATCATTCATGGCCAACCACTAATTATCATATAAAATCAGAAAAATACCAATAAAATCTAAAATTTAGCTAACTCTTTCTCAAACTATAAAATCTTCCATAAAATAGCATATTTGGCAACTAAAACCCACTAATTAGACATTAGCAAGAACAAAGAGGAAGTTTCCAAGCAAGGTACCTTGACACTTGAAGAAAGATGATAGCTTAGGGTTTTCCCTTCACAAATCCCTCCACTAGAAGTTTTAATCCTTCTTAGTAAGCAACTTGGATGAAGTAATTTGATAATTCAACGGTTGAAATTCAAGATTTGAGCAAGAATTGACGTTGAAGTTGAAGAAACTCTCTTGGTTTTCTCCTCACAAGATTCGGCCAAGGCACAAGAAAAATGAAGAAGGTTTGGCCAATTTTTGGTATTTTGTAAAGGTGAAAATTGGTCAAAGTCCAACCTCCATTAGTTTCATGACACTTGGCCCTATTAGGGTTTGATCTAATCCTTTTATCTTCCAATGGTTAAGCCATCTAGCTAACCTCTAATTGTTTCCTAACACCTTATAAAATAATACCCTTTTATGTAAAATTCACTTAGTTGTCAAAAATTTATCGCATTTACCGCACTAGCGGGTCCCACGTCCATGATACACTTCAAATTTAACATGAATTAACTTATACCAGCAAAATGATTTAAAAACTATACTCACTTATAAAAATCTCTGAAAAATTAATATAATAGAGTATAATGAAGAAAATGCATGCGAGAAAATAAAATAAAATAAAGAAAATGTACGGGTCCTCACATAACCAAAGAGCTAGGATTTAATAGGCTAAAGTAAATATGTTAAGTATTGAGCATCTAAACGAAATATTGTAAAACATGCTAAAGAATTGTCATAGGCGTGCCAACTCATGTTCTTCATTTTTGTATTGTAAGGTGATAGATGAAACAAATGTTTCTAGATGATATCCTGCCTCTGGTTCTCAATTTGACATGACGTGTGGATGGAGATAAAAATTGCCTTAAGTTAGTCTGGATGAAAACTTAATAGAAATATTAGCCTACTAATTTTCGAGGTGTGATTTGTGGTTGCTACTATTGTAACATGCGGTCCTATATATAACGTGTTTTTAAATTATCATTTCCTGCACATGTTTTTAAATTTCGAATATTTCAATATGAGGATTTAACGTTATTTAATCTTAACTTATTTGAATGCTTATTGTTATTTTTAAATTTCACCATTTCATCATTTCACACTATCAAATTTTTCTTCTTTTCTATTTTTTGCCTTTTTTTATATTACCATCCAAAATTTGTATTTATAAAATTATAGTGTAATTTAAAAATTACTTTTTCGTTTAACAACCTACTATCATGTTTACTTCTACCTCTATCCTTATACTTAATCACTATCATTGAATAATTTATTGATATATTTTATTTGGATAAATATCAATTTTCTATGCATTTAAAAAAATAAAATTGTTAATGTTTAGCTTTTTCTGTAGCAATGATGTTAATGTTTTGGTTTGGTTCAATTGTCATGTTATCTAGCTCCTACAGGCGGATTAATTCGCTCAATTGGTCCATACAAAATATCAGACAACACTGCAGAATCTTTGAAATTGAAGTGAAGTCTTTTACAACAGAAATGAATAAAAAACTCGAGCCGAACGATGTCGTTGTGGACTGTACTCCAGATGTTGACCTGCGCATATGCCACATCCAACAGCATTCACGCTCATTACAAATTTTGGTGCATCCAAAATTATTGTTTTTTGCCATTTTGACTATTACAGTCGTTATTGGGTTCATAATGCCAACGGTGGCATTCACTGGGTGCTACGATGGTATGAAGAAAATCAATTTCTTTTGTGTTTTTTGTTTTCCTTGTTTACATTGACTTATCTTTTTGATCTTCTGTTTCTATTTGCAGATAAGTTGAAGGTTATTTTGCAAAAACTATTCACGATATTTTGTAAGGTACTGTATAGGTTTTATTTTTACTTTTTGTTGCTGTCGCATGACTCATTTTTTACTGCTCCAATTTCTATAACTAGTATTACTAATTTTGGCATCTCTTTTAGGGGATCATGAACTCACATGGGAACTTCACTATTGGATGATCTCTTTTGCTTCAATAGGTAACATAAAAC